TTTCTTCTCTCATCACAGACTTGGTGGCTGTTGGCTCCATCAGGCTGAACGTGAAGTTGTGACCTCAGCTCTGAAGTCCAACCCAGATCTGACTGAACTGGAAATCATTTGGTTCATCCATCTCGGAGACTCTGATATGAAGAATCTGCTTGAGATCCTGGAGAGTTCAGTCAGTAAAGTGAAGAATCTGAGGTTTGTTTTCTCTATTTATACAATAAAATCATTAATTCATACTTTAATCATTAGTATAATTAATAATTTTATTGTAATATTTTAAAACAACCTTTTTAAATGTCAGAATAAAATGTCTAACACATTTTACCTTATAAATTATTTTCTTCTTTCAGACTTTGAGATCATTGAACTTTGTTTTTCAGTTTTTAAAATGTTTCTGACTGATGAACAAAATGAGTAAAATAATTCAAATGAAGTTAATTAACGATGGAGATGTTTCAGTTTGGTTGGTAAAGATTCAGATTGTTTTATTTCTGATTCTCATCTTTACATCCAGAATTAAATGTTTCCCTCCAGTCGAGCCACAAACACTGACCAGTTCAAATCATCATTAATGAAACATCTAAGAAGTGACTGATTGTAGAAAAGCAAATCTAGATGAGCTGAATGACAGTGAGGTTTGCAGCAGCAGCAGCAGGTTCCTCACTTTGTCCTGAAGCTGTGGTTCTGTTGGGCCGGGTCAGAGAGGAACCGTCCTCTTTAGTCTGACAGCTGCCAGTCGGTTGGAGCCTCGTCTCTGTGATGAAGCTTCATCAGGTCACGTCTCCTTAGGAAATAATGGCCTCCATTGGCTTTCAGCAGCTTTAAGAAGAACCCAAGGCCATTCATGAATAAACTGACTGGATCTGATCCGGTTACCAAGTCGGGTCTCCAGCTGATGATCAGGAACCAGCAGAAATAGCTCACCTCATCCAGGCTGCTGCTCAGAGAAAACTTTGAGTTTCTTTGTTGATAAAATGTTCTGGTTCTGCTGGTTTTACTCTTTAAACCAGTTTGACTGGATCAGATGTTAGAATCAGTTCATCATGTTTCTTTTACATTCAGGGAAATTAATTTTCTACATTTTATTATTTATTTGTTCATATTTCAGTTTTAACTGCATCCTGTTGGCTTCAGCTCATCTTTTATTCTTTATTCAGATTGAAGAGCTGCAGTTTGTCAAAGACCAGCTGGACGTCTCTGTTCTCAGCTCTGAAGTCCAACCCGACCCATCTGACAGAACTGGACCTGATGGGCACCAACCTGGGAGATTCTGGACTGAAGGAGCTCTGTGGTTTTCTACAAACTGAAGGTTACAGACTGGAGACATTGTTGTATGTAATTATATAATTATTGATATTTCTGTGAATAATTATCTATAATTGATCATAAATCAAAGTTCATATCTTCTGTTCTAATAAATATTTTCTGAGTTTGTTCCTGGACTTGGATCCAGAGTTTAATTTAGTCCCTCTGTGTAACTGAGTTGGACCTGCTGACCTGAGGTCAGAACAGGACAGCATTCGGACTCCCAGTGTGGAGAAATCCCCCTCATGTCAAGCAGGTCAAAGGTCAGATGAAAAACAGAGAATGAAAATCTCCCTTTATTGAAGTTCCTCAAATCTCACACTTAGTTTTAAACATTCTGCTATTAGTTGATAATAATCCAGTCCAGGTGTTTTAATGTTTAACTAGAGCAGATTAAAGATGCTTGTTGTAGTGAATAAATAGGTGGAATCGCCCTTTATCCATTTCCTGAATCTGAAGCTTCAATCAGAAACCAACTTCATCTTCGTCTGAAAAAATCCAGACCACTGAGTTTTTCTCTGAGCTCAACAGGCTGCAGGTTCTTTAGGACATGAGTATTCTGGTCCAGACATCAGAACCAGCAGAGACTGCAGCACATGAATCTGGACCAGGTGTGTTAGGAGGTTCTGCACATGCTCAGACTGAAGGTTCACCGTCTGACAGAGAAAGTCGACCAACTCTGGATGAAATGGTTCCTAGAAACAGGGAAGCTTTCTGGGGACTCGACTGCCTCCTCTTATGGAGCTGCAGCTCATGCAGGAGTTTTATGTTGGCAGGAAGCAAAACAACATGGAAGCAGGTGATGAGTTTCTAATTTAGTGTCAATTCCACTGATGGAGCAAATTACAAGTCAGTCATCCTCCAAACCACTGAGAGCAGCTTCCAGAGGAAATCTGAGTTTGTTCTGACGGTCAGACTCTGTCAGGATGACCACAGTCTTCTGGCTGAGTTCCTGACATGAAGGAGACAGAAATAATATAAAGATCATTAATTAACTGTCCTGCAGTAAATACTGACTTTGTGAAGGTTTTGGTGTTAAAGTCATTTAGTTCAAACATCTTGACATCTTGATTCAGCTCTTATTTTGTAGGACAGGAAATGAGATCTTACCTTTGTAAACTTTGTGTGCAACAAACTTCATTAGTGACTGAAATCATCCTCATGTGGTTCACCTGGAAAATAGATTTAAAAATGACTCGTCTTCACAATCAGGTTGTTCTTTATGATAATGTTCCCATTTCTGCAGCGTCTCTGATGGAGGATTCAGAACTTGAACTAAATGACCCAAATCAATCTGACAGAGAAAAGACTCAATATTTTCTAGTTGATAGTTCAGGAACTGAATCATCACAAAATGAGAAAATGATCAACTTTCAGAATCTGAGCTGTAATGGATGTTGTAAAACTCTGAATTAGACGGATTGAAATAAAACGTTTACATCTGTCATACTTAGCAATGAGCTGCAGTTAAAATACAACCAGCAAGAAAAACATCATTAATAGATTAATGACCAAAAACTGGAGACATAAAATCTCTGATGATAAATGAAGGTACAGAGCAGTCAGCTGATACAGAGCCTGGAAAGAAACATGGAGAGAGAAAAAACATCCGACTGAGTTTAAGATCCTGAGAAGCTTTTAGAAAAACTTTGAGTTTCTTTTTTGATCAAATGTTCTGGTTCTGCTGGTTTGGACTCTTTAAACCAGTTTGACTGGATCAGATGTTAGAATCAGTTCATCATGTTTCTTTTACATTCAGGAAAATTAATTTTCTACATTTTATTATTTATTTGTTCATATTTCAGTTTTAACTGCATCCTGTTGGCTTCAGCTCATCTTTTATTCTTTATTCAGATTGTGGAAGTGCAGTTTGTCAGAGACCAGCTGGACGTCTCTGTTCTCAGCTCTGAAGTCCAAACCGACCCATCTGACAGAACTGTACCTGTTCAACACCAACCTGGGAGATTCTGGACTGAAGGAGCTCTGTGGTTTTCTACAGACTGAAGGCTGCAGACTGAAAACATTGAGGTTTATAATTATATAATTATTGATATTTCAGTGAATAATTATCTATAATTGA